AATGTTTCCAAATGATTTGTTTAGTGACAGAAAGATTTCCTGGGTAATCCTAGTGTAAGATGCTAATTAATCTCTCAGCATTTGTGGTACCTCTTCCCAAAGCTTGGCCACTTTGTGCCATTCATGAAGCAGATCAACTATTTCTCCCAAATGAAATAGTTTCACTATATAAAAAAATTAGCATCTCCTTATAATCCAAGTGTCCCTTCCTGTGTTTATTTAGTTAATTAACAACACTTTCACCTCAGCAAGTCAAAATCCCTCCTTTTGGTAGCTCCCCCAACGTGTTCCCTTATGAAATGTCAGCTTCACAAAACCCTTTTTCAAACCAATCTGTCATAAAAGCAGGTTTGGGGTAAACCTCAACTACACCTTCCATGTAAACCTGCTGTGTGAAATAGTTACTCCAAGGTGCTTCTACCTACTTTATTTTCCTTTGCCAAGGGCTCATTCCTTCAGAAAAGGTGATAAATTATCAGTAATGAGAGACTTCAAAGGTAACTTTTCAGTTATATATATATATACACGTATGTATATAAACAAATAAATAAATAAATAGTGTGTGTGTGTATATATATATATATATATATATATAAAGGGATATAAGGGAGAAACAACAGTGAGGAAAAAAAAAAAAAAAGCACAGCACTTCAGCTTTTCCAAATGAAACTCGTATCTCTCTTATTGCTACACATTTTACAGCCCTAAAGAGGGAAGGCTTGTAAATGAGATGTATTTCTATGCAATTGCATAAAATGATGCCACTTCAGGCAATTTTAAATGCACATAGAAAGTAAAATTCCCCCAGAACCCAGTAGAAATCCTCCAGGATATTATCTTTTCTTTCAATTCAAGGTGATGTTGTTGAAGTTATTATTTTCAGTAACGTAAAGGGAAAATGTGTTCAATACTTGTAAAACTGATTATATCATGCCCTGGAAACTAAAGAGAGAATGTTCTGAGGGCCCCACAAAAAATTTTGTCAGAATAAACGAAATGCTGCCCTCTTCTGATTAAATTTGATCTTAGAAGTAGCTGCACTTGCAATGGAAGAAGAGGTTTGAGGAAAAGACTAAAATGAGTTAAAAATAGGGTTTGGCAGGTAGAGGAACCCCCTTTGCAGGGAATGTAGTGGGGAACCTCCATAATTTTTGTGTGGCAAATAATGTCCCCCATCAAAGCAGGAAATATTTGCAGCCTGAATAAAAGCAGCTGGCAATGTACTTGTATATTTTGGGGTAATTTTGTGACATGGTGTGTAATGCAAGCAGGAGATGGATCAAACTAAAGCACAAATGGCATGGTTTTCCCCTAGTTTAGGCATGGAACTTCTTGCTTGTCCAGTTTTGTGCACATGAAGCTTTTTAAATGTCAAAAAAAACAATCCAAGCCCCAGAAAAGCAAGTGCACTGCAGACCTGTTGAACACAAATACCCATTTGAGCTGCAAACTGCTCAAAGTGTGAACATGCTGCAAATATCACATGCCTCTGTTTGATGCCCTCTCCTAAATATTTTTTCACTGGTAACTATCACTGACTAATTTTCGGCATTTCCAATTCTTTTTATTAATTATTTCTCTAACTGCAAAATATGAGTGGGATACTGGTCTTAAGTTAAAGCATTTTACAGACCCACAAGCATAAAAATATTCAAAAATCAGATCATAGAGATTTATGTACATGTTGAGCCACTTCTCTGGACAGTTTGACTATTTTGGTGGTAACTTCCTTATGGATTATTTCACATCAGACTCCAGCTGTAAATTACAACATACTCTGAAAATCCATCGATGCTTGAGTCAAGGTTTCATTCGGCCTTTCTCACCTGGATTCCTTTTTTTTAAGGTATTTTAAATATCCCCAACAATATCGAAATCACATGTACATACCTCATTTTCTGTTCTAAAATATAAAAGCACTTAGCAGAAGAGCTTTCAATAATCCACATATAAAACTTAAATTAGTGTTCTTCACTAATTTACCTTGCACAATGCTTCCACTTACATGCTGTTAGGCTGAGCAAAATGATCTTTCTGCCCACTGCTGAACCTTTGAGTGTTAGAGCTAAAGTAAAGATATGTATAACAAGCTATTTGTAACATGGGGAAAATAATTACAGAACGAAATATGCACAATAATGACACTGCACAATAAGAGCCACTGGGCTGCTTAAAGCTAATACTGCTGCAGGCATTTATCTTGTTGCAGCTTTCTCTCTGTCAGTGGAGAAAACATTAAAACATAAAAAGATTATTAAATTAATCACAAAAACAAATGATTACAGGCTTTGTGGCTATGAGCTGTGGCAGTACTGGAAATGGGTGCAGTCATAACTTGCAGACTACGCCAGGAAAATAAAGCTGATTTTGTAAAATCAGCTATTTCAAATGAAGTAAAGCATCTTTCTGTACTTGTACAAATCTTTACATACTTTCATGTAACTCAGAGGAAATAAGAATAATGGTAAACAATTTAAATAACAAATTGCACATCTGCCTACTCTGAAGCGTTTCTCAGTATTTGCTCACACTTAAGTTGTGATGGTGGAAAGACCAATGAGCCTTTCCACCAAGTACTCTGGTTGAGCAGTAGATTTTGATGGATTCATGTTAGATTACACGTCAAAGACTTGCAAGCTTTTTCTTCTAGCATATTTCCAACAAGGTATGACTCCACCCTGATGAAATAGAGGACTCCCCATCTGTCTTAGCCACACTCGTTTTAAGATGTTGTTTAAAATCACTCATAGTTTTGTAATCTTAACCACAAAAAAACCAAGGTGCTAAAAAAAAAAAAAAATAAAATAGGCACAAACAAAAGAATTACTGTTGGACCTGTAATGTTCTACCATATTATGAGCTTTTACATTTTTGTGGAAGGCATGTGTTTTGCACCCAGAGCTGCTGGTCCTTTGTCATCCCTGTAGGAAACACACGTGAACTACAAAGTAGGATTTCCAATGCTGTTTATTAGAGCTTAGAGTATCAAAAGACAATAGCACAGATAACCCACACCTCTCTAGGTGCTCTGAGTCCAGAGGGTGTAGCACTGACAAACACAGCACTCCATGCAGACCTTGTCCAGAGCAGAGAATCTCCCTTTTTTAAAATTTTCTTACAAGGAACAACCTTTTTCATAATTTCTGTAGTCAAGGTGAACATCATGAATGTTCATGTTGGTCCTGAAAAAGTACTGCCTGTGTGTCTTTAGTGCTACATCACCTCAAAAGGTTCTGACCTGATTTGTTTGTCTGTAGGAGCTGGTGAAACAGAAGATAAAAGATAAAGCAACAACTGACCAAGCAGCAAAGGTCTGAGGCAATGACTGCAAAAAGGGGAGGCAAATATTTACACCAAACAACAAGGAGAAAACATGCACAACGTTAAGCCAAGCTTGGATGCAGCCAGCTTCTGGGAACAGTTTATCAAAGCTCCTGTGGAACACGAGAAATGTATAGAACTGTATAGAAATTTATACAAAGGATTATGCTAATTTACCTTTTAAATAAAGGAGCAATCTCTTCAATGCAAACCAGGTGTTCTTCCGGAAACCAATGAGCCTCATTCTCCTTCCTGTGATTTTGGCTGGGAGATTGTTTTGTGTTTCTGCTCAGAACCATTGACTGTAATTTACATTGTGTCAGTGGTACTGGCGAAGATCAGGACAGTAATTTTTAACAGTATTTCACTGCAAATGAGTCATTTGTGTTTATTGTGCAGAGCTCTTTATAAACTGTGTTTATTGTGCAGAGGATAGCTCTTAAGAAGAAAGAAAAAATTTAAGCCCCATTTTTGCAATGATGCTGAATTTAAAAACATGATCAACCCATATGATGTACTTGCAAAGTGCACTGGCACCCTCAGGAATAAAGTTTTGAGCCTTTAAAACATCTTATTATAACCCAGATCCTGTAATATTTGTTCTTCTAGTGTCTCTGGTAAGGTAAGATTCTTGGTTAGATGGCTCTCCAGCTGCTGAAAGGAAAGAATCATACCCTGGGTTGCAGTGGAGCACGTGGGGAAAGGAATGAAGTGGTTTGGCAACAAAATAATGACAAGAAATAGAGATTCTTATATCTGCATAATGAAAGCAACCCTAATTAATTTTTCTGTTTAGTTGTTAAGGAAAAAGGCAGCAATTTTGAAAAGTCTTGAGGGTGAATTGTGTTAAAAGTAAAAAAAAAAAAAAAAAAAAGTTGTTGTTGTGATTGTGGTGTGGCTTAGGTACCAGAAAACCAGAAAAACTTTTTCCCCCTAAAGCTTTTCATCACGTTCTAATTCTGTAGCACTTCCCTTCTGCTACAAGAGCCCAGCAGCAGTTTTAATCACCAGATCTATTTTGGAACAGCGCTGAAGATGGGAAGCAGGAGAAAAACCAGCGCTGGAGTGCAACATTTTTATCTGCAGGCAGTTTCTGCAGCCCGAGAAGGGCTCAGGGCCAAGGGATCCATGGTACAGGAGAGATTCCTGCTACATTCCATTTGTCTGCCTCTCTACACCACTTCAGATCTTACTGACAGGAAAAAACAGCTTTTAAAAATTGAGCATAATATCCTTACATTAAAACTCTAAATACAATTGTTCCTTCCTGCATAACTTGCATAGACACAACTTTTCTTCAATCACAAAAATACTCGGATTCACTTCTGTTAGGAAAAGGTCATCTCTGAAGGGTTGCTGTTTATCAGTAAGTTTATCTCAGAACTACAACTGACAGAAAATCCACTCTCATATTCATTTTCCCCCGCTAAAATGAAGAGTTAAAGAGCTAAATGTATTTTAGGGAAATTAACATCTTGACTTGCTCTGTAATGAACATATATATTTTCTTCAGTGACATAGTGTTCCAAACAATCCATGACCATGCACATTCCCAGAAACACCTCTGATGATCATGATTTATCTAACAAACTAAGGATCTTTAAGACGTCAGAGCAAGTAATTCCCCAAGAATAAACCAAGATGAAAGGCTTTAATTCAGAAAACAGAGACAACAATAATCAGCTGGGAAACCTTTTATTCAGGTCACAAGGTAAAAGTAAAACCTATTCTACCAAGCAGATTTTTTGCTGCAAAAGTTCAACAGCCAGTGAGAAAAGTAGTAGAATTAAGGAAAGTAGTACCAAATACCAGTCTTCTCCAAATATGTTTCCCATTTGTGTAAGTAACTGACAAACTAGCAACTAGAAAACCCTCAGTAATCTGCCAGTATCCAGTGCAAAGCAGTTTTAGTTGATAAAACCATTCCCCAACAAAGTGCATGTTAGATATCATGCATCTCTCTCACCTACCTGGCAGGCTTGCACAGAAGCATCACTACCAGCCTACATCAAAAGAGTACAAAAATTCAGTATTAAAGCCACAGTCTGTGGAACTGTCATCAAGGACTTCTGACAGGGTGAAGTGCTGCTCTGTGAGTTACAGTCACCTTCCTTTTCATGTCTCTTACCACAACAGCCACAGCATGCACTTAGTGGGGACTGCCAGGTGAGAGTTTAGGAAAGGCAGACCCCCTTGCTTTCCAGGTTATCCAGAGAAGTACTGAGCCCAGAGGTGTCTACACCTTCCCCTTCCTGGCAGGTCTGAGGCCCTGGGAGACCTTTACACAGAAAGTTTTAGAGTGAACAGTGCAGCACTCTAAGTCTGCATTGGAACTCTCATGAGCACAGATGTACAAACAGTGCAGCCTTGACAATGGGCACATTTGTGGTCCCAGTGACATAAACACTGTGGTTTACTGATCCTTGTGCCAGAATAAGTTGATAAACTATTGTGGATAAACACACTGGTATCAGAAAACACAAGCAGTAGTATCCCCTTATAAAATTAGCTGATAGGAATTCATGTGGAAAAGCAGAGGGTTACAGCCTGTGAGCCATCCCAGGAGTCTCCCCTGACCTCCTTCCCCTTTTAAGTTATATTTTTATTGTTTTCTCTACAGGTGTGGAAAACACAAAGTGCCAGCTGAGGTTGTTTCATGATTAGGTGGATTTTGACTCACTTTAGTCATACATATGAAGCATGTGCAGGTTTTATTTCATTAGAGAATACACCTCCACAAGGTGTGTACATGGAAAGTGTCTTACCTGGAAAGTGCTCTAAAAATGTACACTACTGGACAAAAGCATAATCCAAAAAAGGAAGACAAGTAGTTCTGGTGGGAGCAGAATTGCTGTGGATAAAAGCCCACTGACCAGAAAGCACAGAACAGCCTACAAGCACTCCAGGAGGCACCCCCAGTCTGCATCCAATGGAATCAATCAGCAAAACCCTGGAGGCCTTTAAAAGCCTCTGGACCCAATCCTCAGTACTCTGCTTAGCAGGGAGGTTGGACTAGATGGCATTCTGGGATCCCCCCCAACCTCACCCACTCTGATTCTGTGAAAATTAATACAAGTCCAAATCCCTTCTCACAGTTCTGTTACATAATTCTCCTGTGCTTTCCAGCTTTGTTGTTAACATTGCTCTCATGCACACAACTGGACATGAAGAGCTGTAAGAGGGAGGAAGACACAGCAAAATGCAACAAGCAACTTCTTTTAGGCATCTAAAATTGTATCACCCTGCACAGTCTCATGTGCTTTCTAGACACTGAGACCTTTATTCACTGTGCAAATGAGTAAACTCCTTCCTAAATTTTTTCCCTTGTAGAGTTATCCCCAACTATCCTACAAAGGGATGGCTATTTTACACTTGGTATTCAGCAGGAGACACTGGCTCTAGGTCTTTAACAAGATCAAGGGTCACACAGGTTGTTTTTAACATTACTACTCCTGCAGCTGCACCACCAAGTATGGGGCTCTCCAAACAACACAGGAAGTATTTGGCTTTAGCAGCAAGTTACTTTACAAGGTTTCTCATAATGTTTAAAGAAGACCCTCTGTACCCTGAACCAAAATGGTTCCAGTGGTTCATGAAGTGGAACAGCTGGTAAAGCTTCAGGCGTTTCTCAAACCCTGCAGCTCTGGGGATTTTACTGTGGTAAGCAGAATAAAAAGAACTGCTGAAGCCACCAAACATCCCAGCTATTGCAAGCTCGTACTCTGAATGGCCATAGAAAGAAGCCGGATCGAAGATAATCGGACCAGAATCATCCTCAGCTACATTTCCTCCCCAGAGATCCCCGTGCAGGAGAGCAGGAACGATTTCCACATCACAGAACAGACTGGGTATCTTCAGCTGCAGGGGGAGAAAAGCACAACATGTAAATTACACAGTCATTCACTTTAAAATGTAGGGGTTTATCTGCATATTTGAAGCATCCTAAAACCCATCATTTAAAACACACAGGATCTGGTCAGCAGAGATGCTGAGTACATCCAGAGAACTTTTATTGTTCATAAAAGGCAGCAGCAGAATGGTCATCTAAATCTTTTTCAGCAAGAAAATAGAAGTCTCGAAACTCAGATATTAACCAGGGTTAGTAACAACAACCACCAACACTTCATCATTAAAAAGCTCAAGGATGTCTCACCAAATTTCCAAAATGTAGGACCCAAAGAGCCAATAGTGCAGTCACTTGATCAGGTGTAAACAGTGAATGAACAGACAGCACGCAGGACAGAACTGCTTAGGTACATTTCTCATCATCAGCATGTTACAGAGAATGAGAATCTGAACTCCATCCAGTATTTCCCAAACAGTAAGGCAAAGTGCTAGCTGGCACTTTGGAATTCACTCCGGAATGTTAGCATAGGGGCATGTGGCAAATGTCATTATACCTTAGAAGAAGGGCATTTTAATCCCTAAAAACTGGAGTCTCTGACCAACAAAACCTAGTGCAACCAACAAACAGGAACTTTGGTTTAAGAAAATAAAATTTAAGTATACCCAGCTCTCCCAAAAATGAGAACTAAGGAAATTGCTCCTACCTGAAGCTGTGCCCAAAGTTCTCTTGCTTCTTTGTCACCTGATTTCTTTTCAACCATGTCCATCTGGGGCTGGATCCTCTGTCTAGCAAAGAAGGTCACCCAGTCACTCTGCCAGTCGTTCACCTGAAGGAACAGCACTGCAGATGTCAGTTCCACACCACACAAAAGGCACATCTGCTTCTTTTTTCAAATAAGACTTTTGAGGATCAGAGTCTTTGTGCTGGTACCATCCAACACAGTAAATGCTATAATCATTTAATCAAAGTTATTTTAAAACATTAAATTAGGGGAATAATTTTCTCTCAGTGATTAAAGTCCAGGAAATTGAAGAGCTATCAGTGACCAAAGTACTTTTAAGTGCTGTCCAAATCACTGCCTTCCTTAGCAGGCAGAACCATGTTTTTTCATTTTCATGGCTCCACAAAAATTCATTTATTTTCATTATGCTAACTTTGACCTTCTGTATCACTGAAGGGAAAATGAGATAAACTTAAAATTCTATCAGTCTGAGAAAGTACAACCTACCTGTGGAAGATAACCACAGCAGGTAACTGTATGAAAGCCAAACTGATCCACAAACTGGACTTCTGATTGCCCTTGACCTTTACCTTTCAAACCAAAGACAAAAATTCAACAACAGTGACAAAACACTGAGAATCTATGACACAAATGAAAATTTAAAACTATACAAGAGTACAACACTGCTTCTACTGAGAATAAAAAAAAAATGCACTTTAATGGTCTTTTTAAAGTTACAATGTGGTTGTTTTTTAAATTTAAAGTTCCATGTAAAGCAACTATATTCTGCTCTTCAAAATTGTATTTTGAGGTTCTTTATGTCCAAAACTGAGTATGTGTTTTGCTTACACAGACCCAAACAGAGCAAACAAAAGTAAAAAAAATCCCTGCCTGGGTCTGTTTCATCCAAACTTATTCTCATGCTATCTTCAGGGGAAGATGAACTTGTCCTGAAGAAGCAAAAGTCATTTTAACTGCTTTGTAGATTATTATCAATTGGGTTACATTTGCAAATAGCAGTGTACTGTACCAACTACGCTCCCTTCTTTCTTCAGCTTCTCTCCAAGTTTCTGGTTATGAAGGTGAAGATCAGCCAGCTGAGTTCCAAGCAGTGCTGAGTGCCTAAGAAACAAAAAAGTAATCTGAGTATCAGTGACACATGAACAGAACCAGGTCTTGATATTCCAGGAGTTACTTGAACAGATTTATCAAGTAAGTAAAAGCAGTTCCACACCTCTAACAATTTTTTTTCGGTGTATTCCAGATATAAACACCTTGTCTTCCTATAAAGACTGCATATTAACACAAAATATACTTATTTGGCTGTTTCTGACACCACTACTGAAAGTGAATGTAGCCATGATATTTTATGAAAATTCTTTGCTAGGATTTTTCTCCTATTCTAGCTGAGAAGCCTCAGAAAAGAAATGTAAACAATTAACTGTCTGATGGCTGTGGAATGTGGTCTGGACATTGTTTACTATCTGGGATTGGTCCATGTTGGTTGTTTCTAATTAATGACCAATCACAGTCATCTGGCTCAGACTCTCTCTGTTATTCATTCCATTCCTGTTCTTTCTAGCCTTCTGATGAATCCTTTTCTTTCTATTCTTTTAGTATAGTTTTAGTAAATAATTTTAATATAATATATATCACAATATAATGAATCAGCCTTCTGAAACACGGAGTTAAGATTCTTGTCTCTTCACTCGTCCCAGGAGCTCCCGTCAGCTTGACCATAGTGAAAAGCATAAATTTACTAACAATGAGAAACTAACAATTCTAATTTCTGCGTGACATCACTTCTGTGAGGACTCTAAGTAAGGTAAGTGCAAGAAAGCATGCACAACATGTTGTGCCTTTTTTTTTTTTTTTTTAATTTAAACTCTGGTAAACTGTGTTTGGGAAATAGAACCAAAAAGCTGATCCTTTTCTTTCTACTGCTGCTTCCAGCTGCTTTTCTCTAATATGCCGAGATGATGAGAGTCTCAGGGGCCTAATTTATTATCTATTTTTAATAAAACCTCCACAAGGTTCAGAAGAGTCTTGTAGTAACTACAAACAGGTATTACAACCAGTTGCCTCCCATGTTAACAAAATTATGTTCCTTTTATGCCTCTGACCTTCCTCAATTTCCCCTGTTCTCCAGGCACTGTCGTTTAAGGCACACTTATTTCTTCAATTTGTTCAATTCTTTCAATTTGTTCCTGTTAACACAGGAAATCTGCATGCCAAAGGTACCATTTTTGACCCCAAAACAGCAACATCTCTGCCCTTTCTCGTGGGACTCACTGAGGGCTCTTCATGAATTAGAAACTCTGCCAACAAGCAGGAAGAGGAACAAGGCTTTAAACTGCGTGCAGAAGTTTCGAGAGAGAGATGAGAAATTGGCCATGATCACCTCCCTAATGGAATCAGACAAATGAATTCATCATATTAAGTGCTTGTCACAGAGAAGGGTCAAAAGTTTGTAACTATCAAAATGAAGGTAAGAGCTGAAAATACTGAAATCATGATTAATTGATTTGGGGAAGTGCCTCTGCACAGTCATGCCAAGCAGTACAGTACTGGTTCTTATATAGGGGGCAAGTACACAACACAGGTGATCAGGCTGGTCGTTTTCCTTTCTGTGAAAAGAAACCTTACTGTAAAAATCACTAATTACCTAAGCAAACAAACCAAAACCCAGACTCACTTTGGGATGTATGATCAATTTGCTAGGTGAGGCATTATGAGGTATTTTGTACAGCTCTCTGCTGTGTGATTTCCCATGCTGTCTTGACTCGCTTTAGAAAAAAATTAAGTTTCCCGTACGAAAACAAGTGATTTAACTATCACGACAGCCAAAATTTCTGGTTAAAAGAGGCAAAGACATCACTGTTTTACCTGTTCAAGCCCTGCATTTCCAAATGTTCTATCACAAACGCCGTACTGCCCCCGGGCAGGTCTACTACTTTCATGGGTTTAGGCACTTTTATTGTCTGTGTTTTCAGGATGGCTTCCAGGCTTGCCATTTCTCCCTCAAACATTCTTCTGGCCTGCCAGATATTAAGGGAAAGCATTAGTGTCTATGAGCATCAGTCACAGGTAAACAAAGCACTTCCACAAAACCCATTGATTTTGCAAAACTTACATAGAAAGGCTGGAGAAAATGTTTATTCACACACAAGATACAGACAGGACCACACCACCAGACTTGACGGGAGTTTTACAAATACAGTGATGTCACTTCATAAAACAAGTGAGTGAAAATGACAGGTTCTAGAATTTTCTATAATTTAGAAAGTCTGTCTGCAACTGAAGACTGCAAACTGCTTAGAGATAAGGTATGAGCTCCTTCAGCTGTGCCCCATCAGAGCTTTCACTAGAATGGTTTTCCATGGTGTTTTCTTTTACCTCATGGGGGAAGGGCGTGGTGGCAATTAACTGTAGCAGCCAAATGTCCTTTATCACACTTGCACAACCCAAGCCACCACCAGCTGCATTTGCTTGGAAGACATTCTGAATTTGGGACCTATTTCTGCACCTGCTACCCACAGCAAGGAACATCTACTCTCCTGAGTTCCTCCTCTGAGATCAGGGACACTCATCACATGAAGAAATGTTTCTCTGCAAGAGTCAGGCAGGGCTGTAGAAAGAGCACATGGGAAATTTAACATATCTGGCAAAAGCAGGGAAGTAGAATGAATGAAATAGAATGTTCCTTTGGTAATGTTCTATGCAACACAGTCACAGGACAATTTGCAGTAGACATAAATAAAGATGCAATCACAGAATGGTTTGTGCTGGAAGGGACCTTCAGACATCCATAAACAACACCTTGTGCCACCCTCCACTACCTCAGGCTGCTCCAACCCCCATCCAACCTGGCCTTGAACACTCCCAGGGATCACGGGGCACCCTGTCCCAGGGCCTCACCACTCTCAGAGTCAGGAATTTCTTCCTAATATCTGACCTAAACCTACTCTCTGTCAGTTTGAAGCCATTCCCCCTTTCCCTGTCACTCCAGGTCCCTGTAAAAAGTCTCTCCCCACTTTTCCTGTGGGCTCCCTTCTGGCACTGGAAGGTGCAATTACGTCTCTACAGAGCCCTCTCTTCTGCAGGCTGAGCAATCCCAGCTCTCCCAGCCTTTCCTCATGGAGCTCCATCCCTCTGACCATCTCTGGCTGTCCTTTTGCCTCAAGAGTGTCCACAGGAAATCGATCCACAGGCAATACTGTGTCTCTGTCTAAAGCATCACACTGGGCTCTGAACTGCTGATGCACAACAGCAGCTGCTGCTCACAGCGTTTACAGCACTTCAACAGAGTTTGCTTTAATCAGCACTCAGGATCCACACACAGGCAAAAGCAAACAAAATGAAACTGCTGAATAGAAAATCCATCCAGATCTTTCCTGCCTCCCCCCCCAAGCCTGATCTTGCAGCTAGTTGTATTGCATAGCTAAATACAGAATTAGCAAAGGCCTGAGGAAGGGCTACAGCAATTCAAACTCTCTTCTGTGAAGCAGGATAACCTTCCTGTATTATCCCATGTTACCAGCCCCATTCAGCTCCCCAACTTGATCAGAAATTGTTGAGAAATTTGGAACAGATATAGTTGCATGCATACTTCCAAACACATTTGTTTGCTATGAAGGGCAAACACAAGTTTTGACTCCCGTTCTGCCACTGAAGCTATTGATGTGATAAACACAAGTACAGAGTATCTTTAAAGTAAATTCCACCTGATCTCTGTTTCTGCAAAGGATGCTGAGGAAAAAAGTTGAATTGTACTTATCTCTACCAAATGCAGGTATCCACCTTTGACAGTACATTCCAGATATTGAAAGGACAAAGCAGAAAAGCTTGAACAATTATGGGAAAACATCACTTACTCTTTCTCGTGCGCAGGGCATTAGAAGTTTTAGTTAAAACCACAGAAGGCACACACCCCCTCAGCAGACAATTTTGTACCTGCTGGGTTGCCTCAGCCCCTGTCACAACGCTTGCAGACACTGTTACACCACTGCTACCCTTGGAGGCCACAACACCATGTCATGGTACTGCATGTCCTGGACAAACAACACTGATACCACAACACTATCCCAACCTCAGAATCAGTCAGGCTGGAAAAGACCTCCCAGACCATCAAGTCCAACCTTTGACCCATCTGCACTTTGTCACCCACACCACAGCACTAAGTGCCATGGCGTGGCAGGTGTCCAAGGCATTCCTTGCACACCTGCAGGGATGGGGACTCCACCACCTACCTGGGCAGCCCCTTCCAATTCTTAACAATATTGTCCAGGAAGAAATTCCTGCTGAGAGTAGGTTTAGGTCAGCTATTAGGAAGAAATTCCTGACTGTCAGAGTGGTGAGACCCTGGCACAGGTTTCCCAGAGAAAGTGTGGCTGCCCCTGGATCCCTGGGAGTATCCAAAGGCTGATGTCCACCCTGAGCCTGCCCTGGCCCAGCCTGAGGCCGTTCCCTCTCCTCCTGTCCCTGTTCCTGGGAGCACAGCCCGACCCCCCGGCTGTCCCCTCCTGGCAGGAGCTGTGCAGAGCCACAAGGGCCCCCCTGAGCCTCCTTTTCTCCAGGCTCAGCCCTTCCCCAGCTCCCTCAGCTGCTCCAGCCCCTTTCCCAGCTCCATTCCCTTCCCTGGACACACTCCAGCCCCTCAATGTCCTTTTTCCCAAAAACTGACCCCAGGACTGGAGATGCCCCAGCAGTGCTTTACTCTTTGCCAGTGAAGATGTGGTACATGACAGCTCAGCACTCCCCATGCAATGATCAGGAAGAGATATAAAACAAACAAAAAACTTCAAAAAAAAAAAACCACTAGGGAAAGAAATTGCTGAAAGAAATCCCTAAAATTGTGGCTGGGAATTGTTTTCCTGACCGCAGGTGATACCAGAAGCAGGCAACTTCTTGCAGATGCAAACAGGACTCCTCCCTTTCACTCCTCAGCAGCAGCAAATTGGCTGTGGGATGAAGCTGGGGGCAATCCATCCTTTTTGCCTGTTCCTGGCACTGGCGGCTGAGGGGGCTGAGGCGGCTGAGGCGGCTGAGGCGGCTGAGGCGGCTGAGGCGGCTGAGGCGGCTGAGGCGGCTGAGGCGGCTGAGGCGGCTGAGGCGGCTGAGGCGGCTGAGGCGGCTGAGGCGGCTGAGGCGGCTGAGGCGGCTGAGGCGGCTGAGGCGGCTGAGGCGGCTGAGGCGGCTGAGGCGGCTGAGGCGGCTGAGGGACCCGGGCGCTACTGTCAAAAGATTCTCTCGTTCCTCCTATGTCAATTCTCCTGTGTGTTCAGTTTTATTCTTCTCTTAATCACCGAACAATTCCAAAATTGTTCCACCAATTACAAAATCACGAAATATATTGAGTTGCAAGGGACCCACAAGGAACATCAAGTCCAGCTAGTGGCTCTGCACATGACATCCCCACTATTCCACGTGCCTGAGAGCATTGTCCAATATTTTTCTTAAAATCTGGACAGCTGCATAATAAAGGTACCGGATCTCCAGGATCTACTGATAAATTTATTATACAAAGCCTTGAAGAAAGGAAAAGAACAGAAGAAAAATCAGCTTCAAATATGATAATAGGCAACAACAAAAGTAGTTACAATTTACAAAGTTACAAACTTTAATACAAAAGTTTGATGCTAGCTTACATCACCTTAAATAAATAAGCTACAGTTCAGTAATGACATAGGTAATCTTACCGGCATTAACCTAAAGTTTTAAATAAATAAGGCACACTTGATACACGTGTCCTGGCTGAAGCAGACAATGGGTGCCAGGACTCTGCGCGCTGTTGTCAAATTTCTGTGTTAGTCTCGTACTGTAAAACAAATTGTTGTGCAGATACTGGCATCCATTCTTTACTTCACAGTAACCGGGGCTACACTAGGAATGAAAGATAAAAAGAAAATTAAGGCATGTAAACATTTCTGCGGAGTCTGGAATCCCACGTTCATCCGTTCAAAGCAGCACCAAAGACAGCTCAAATGGGTGGAGTCTGAGGGCTCAACAAATCCTTTGGTCCGTTTTGCAAAAATCAGTGTCAGTTCACCTCGAGTCTCAGCATCAGTGGAGAATCCTAAAGGTTTCCCTTTGTCTCCTGGCATAGCACCATGGAATTACAAACACAATAGCAACCTAGCCAAAAACTAAACAAACGCCTGCCGACATGCCTCAACGATCGTAAGGACCTAAAGAATTCTCATACTGAAGTTGTGGAACGTGCCGAAATCACAAAAGTTTTCAGGGTATCAGGGCGTGTCCAGGTGATCACTATGACCTCACCGGTGACTGCATGTCTGTCCCCCTGGGAGCATTGTGACCTCACGGCCGCTGCCGCTCCCTCGCTGCCCCGCTCCGCTATAAAAGCGGGCGCGCCGCCGCCGCCCCCGCGGCAGCATGGCCCGCTACCGCCGGCGCTCCCGCAGGGGGAAAGGGTCAAAACCTGCCTTGCCCATTATAAGACATTTCTGGCATGGTGTGCCAGAAACTAAACAAGCAGCAATGGATCCCTCAATCTGCTTCAGGGGCTGTTGGCTACAATGTACCCCATCTGAAATGTTTCTACATCCATGTGCTCAGCCCAAGGCATAAACTAGAGGAGCCCCAGGCTTTCTTCCAGTCCCAGAGATTTGACATTTTCGGCAGGAGTGAAAGCCAGAGCTGCTGGGATGAGTCCTGTGAATGCAGAGCCCTGCTGGACGCTGCCAGGCTGCTCAGGAGGGATGGGCAGGGCAGGAGAGGCAGAGGGGAGGGTCGGTATGGAACACAGGGTTACAGGGGCTGGAGCTCCCAGCCGGCAGTGCCACAGCTCCGGGCCCACGGACAAGAACCAAGGAACAAAGAGATGATGTGGATGTCACTGTGGGAGTCCCCTCCCCAAAGGACAGAGAGCTCAGCTTGCCAGGTGAGTCCAGTGAGGGGCCCCGAGGCCGACTGAGGGCTTGAGCCCCCTCTCGGACAAGCTGGACAATCCCAAGAGGTGCCCCGAGCCTTTGCTGACCCTGGGGTTCTGTGGATCTGCACCCCAGCTGCATCTCACATGCACTGGCAAGGCAGAGAGATGCTTCTGAGCAAAACCAACATAAACACAAACAATGAATGTGAGAGCTGAACTGGCAAATATCCCTGCACTTGCATTATGCCATCATTTAGGTGTGTTTCTTTGTCTTAAATTCTGTTCTGATAATTCTTAAGATCAAGATCTTATCAACTGAAAAAGGGAGAAAAAAAGTGGAAAACTATCTCTTTAAGCCCAAAACCCCCTAAACATTAAGGAAATATATTCTGCATGCTACTTGTCTGAAGTGCCACAGGATCACTGTAGCTTCAAATGTGTTTCTCTGAAAGGTCCACTAGGGATCAGATTTACCACAATGAGAATTCCGATTTCCAGAACCAATTTTTCCCCCATTTAATTAGGGACACTTTTCATTGTTCTCTCACCCCATCTCAGATCTGTTGTGCACGTGCCAGCTGCCGAGGGATGTTGGCAGGAGCTGGGCAAGGTTTTCTCTTCATCCATTATTATTGTTCTTCCCAGCAACCGGTGCCTGCAGCCTCTGCAGAAACGCTGCCAGCTTCCCACTGCAAACACCACACACCTACACAGAGCAACAGCTGTGGAGGGACCAGCAGGAAAACAGCTGCAGGAAACTCCCATTTTAACATGTGACTGTAGCTTTCTCCCCACAACCTAAACTTTATTCGGCACTGAGGGACAGGAGTTTCTCCTCTCCCCAAAGCTCCCATGGGTAGTCCAGCACAGCTACACCCTCTGCCCCAGAACTCTG